GTCTTTCTGGCGTAACTGATCAGATGTCTATGGGCGGCTGCATCTTAATGGATGTGCATCCCTTTATCTCTGTGTCCATCCAGGTCCAGAAAAAAATCAGAGTTAAGTTTTGATGCACCTGATCGTGGTGTATCGGGGGGGTGAATCTGATGTAAACTGACACATGTCCGTTTACATCCAACCATCCATAGACTTAACATGGGTCCGGTAAATTAAGTTTTTTCCTCCATCGTAAGATAGAGATAAAAAACTGGATGGACATCACAACGTTGACATCTGTTCTGTACTGCTACGATCATCATGGGAGCCTTGTACTGAGCCCCTGCTGATCAGAACTTATAGCACCTATGTGAATGGGACCTTAGAAAGGGAATTTATACTTACCCTTTAGGCTTCCGGTGTGCTGGCTCTATTGGAAAGGTTAAGCCCTACTTAAATTTGAACCCTGGGGTTTACTTCACAAGAGCCTGCATTCCATTTCTGAACAAACCCATACTTCCAGTTATTGGTAACTTCCAGGGGGTGCTAAGACAAGATCCTCTAGTACCCAAGACGAAAATGTCACAGTGCCCCTCCACCCCCTTTTCAGCTGAGTTTCATGGATGGAGCAGTGATCAAATAGGTTGAAAAACCTTGTTGGAGCGCTATCCTCTACCAAATAAGCCTGGAGATATTGGTTTTCATAATGCACCTCTCCATAAGCTTAACCAGTAATTGTTGCTTGAGATTACCATTTTCTGCAGAGTGTTTCATAATGGCATTAATTAGAATATGCATTATTATTAATAATAATAATATGATGTAGCAGTTAAATGACAATCTTAGGAGCCTGTAGAGCAGGGGTGTCAAAGTACTGGCCCGCTGACCGGATACTTTTGGACCGCAGGCCGGCCGCCGATAGTGTGGAAGAGCTGGCCCTCCTTTACCAGGCCCCATCAGGTCAGCAGGGGGGCCCTGGGGCAGAGAGGGGGCTCTTCCCTTTTGCAGCAGCCAGGGGCATAGCTAGAGTTGCCACCTGTCAGGGATTCACCCGGACAGTCATGAATTTGAGTCTTGCATGTGCTCTGTCCAGGCTTCAGACCAACTGAGACCCGGACACAAGATGTCATGATGTCAGGCGGACAGGGGCAACCACGGGGTCCTGGTGTTCCAACTGGAGTGCATTGAGAAGTTACAGGACACGAAGGAAAACTGGAACTCAGGGATCAAGGAGGTGTCTGAAACACAGGGTGCAGATAATTCTTGAAGGGCACAGGGGTTCTGTTTCAGGCAGATGTGTTGCTCGCTATCACTCCCCACTCTCTCTCCTGGCTGTCTCTCCTCCCTCTCCTCTGGTTGCCTCTCCTCACTCTCTCTCCTGGCGGTCTCTCCTCGCTTTCCCCTGGTTGTCTCTCCTCATTCTTTCTCCTGGCGGTCTCTACTCGCTCTATTTCCTGGCGGTCTCTCCTCTCTCTCTCTCTCTCCTGGCTGTCTCTCCTCACACTTTCCCCTGGCTATCTCGAATGTGATGATGTCACAGTGGGGTGTCACCCGGTATCTGCTCTTGTGACACCCGGCCTCGGGACGCTCCTGGTGTGAGGCCTGGCATTGTTGTGTTGAAGAATTGTTTCATTCCCTATTCCAATCTGTTTGATTCTTCTTTTTAGTGCAGTAAGAGTTTCAATATAGCATTCAGGGTTTACTGTTGTTCCTTTTTTTAGGAAAGTCTGCAAGAACAACAGAAATGAAACAATTCTTTAACACGGCAATGCCAGGCCTGACACAAATGCAACAACAAGAGATGCAAGTCCAAGTCAACGCCTGGACTTTTCAGTGCTGCCGCACATTTTCTAACTGAACAACAATAGGTTGAAGACAGCTGTTCTCTAACCTTGAAGTAAGGGAGTCTTATCAAGACCAGAAGAGCCATCTAATGTTCTTGGCACAATCTAATACCAGTACGGGAAAAAAAAGCACAGCGTGGTGGGGCGGGGGGGGGGGGGCATTATTATCTGGCATTTGGAGATAATTCAAAGTAACACATATGGTTCTATTGTTCAGCTTCCATATTCTGTGAACACACCATGCGCAGCTCAGCGTACAGCAAAAAGAAATGCTGACAGGTAGAAAGAAGCTTTTACGCCAGGGTTTTTGGAACCCTTACTTCCACTTTAAGGGCCTGTTTACACTTTAAAGCAGTGTTTTAGTGAACGGGATAGTGCATTGTGGCAGCTGTCACTGTTTAATTTTTTTTTTAACTTTATGTGGAGTGTACAATGTGTACACCCCATTCAGGTCCATGTACAACAGCGCAGTGTGCTGCCATGCAGTGACTTGCAATGTCATCCAGTGTGCTGCAAAAACAAAACACAGCATGTTTGCATTTTATTGCAGTGTACCGTGCATCACATCCATGTAGTGGTGTAAATGGGACACACAATTGTTTTCTATGTGTCCTTGCTGAGACCAGAGGCATGTTCAGTTGCTCAGCCGCTGAGTTAGCAAACCGCTGCTGAACGCGGTGCTGCAAGTCAACACTCACCACTGCTAACTTAGCACTCATGGCGGAAGTGGATGTGGCTGCAGAGCGTTGAGTGTGACGTGCAGAAGAAGGTGAGGACAGAGCATTAGCGACCATTGTAACTGTGAGCACACCTGGCAGCAACGGAGAAGGGTACCTGAACCCCAAGGTAACAAATCACAATTCAGTGTGGGAACCTACAATTTAATGTTTTAATGGACGATTGTGAACTAAAAACTGTGTCTTACAGTAGAAATTGCACTAATGGCAGAGTTTAACACTGAATCCTCCGCCATTTTGCTTAGAACGGTGCACTCAAGCGTTCAGTGGAGCTGCTGCAGCGAACTGAAGCGCTGCAGAACAGCTACTCAGCGCTTGTTTAACTGAATGCGCCTCTGCATTGACCCGGTGCAGTACAGTGCAGGTCACCACACTAGGTGTGAAGAGAGCCTCACCTGCCAAAACAATCCCCTCCAGCTATGCACTTCTCCCTCACCGGTGCTTCCATCTTCTCCCGGGTTTTGAGCATTCGGCTGCTTGATTGGCCAGGCCCCAATGATGTAACTCCCACACATGTGCACCGGGCACAATTCCCAACCTGCAAAACCTTATTTCAGGGAGGTGCCCTTCTCATTTCAGGGAGGTGCCCTTTCTGTTTTTTGTTTCTAATTTGATTGCGGCCACTGTCAGAATAAAAAAACAAACAAAAAACAGATAGTAGGAGAATTAATAGCTAGGCTGCTATTGGCCATTTCAATTTGCAATAGCCAATATCAGGCTGGGTATTGCAAGCGCCCACTGCTGCTGTCAGTCAGCAGAGGAGGACCTGTAAGAGAACTTCAGGTCCACCTCTGCTGATTGACAGCAGTAGTGGGCGGGTGCAATACCCAGCCTGCTATAGCAAATTGAAAAAGCTAGGGATGCACCGATACCGGTTTTTCGGTATCAAGTGCGAGTACCGATATTTTTTTTTCTGGTACTCGATGATACCGAATACCGATACTGGAAGTCCCATTTAGGAAGCCAGGCAGCGTGCAATGACTCGCCAGGCAGCGTGCAATGACTCGCCAGGCGACGTGCAAAGACTCGCCAGGCGGCGTGCAAAGACTCCCCACCAGGCTTCCTAATTAGTAGGGAAGCCGTCTCTATGCTTCTCTAGGTGATGAGAAAACATGTAGCCGGCTTTCTGGCCAATCAGGAAGCTGGGTGCCGTGTAATGACGCGGCGCCCGGCTTCCTGATTGGCCGGGAAGCCAGCTCTTTGCTCCCTCGGTGAGGTGACTAGGGAGCATGAGGCCGGCTTCCTGATACCGGAAGTATCGGGCTAGGCATCGGACCATTTGGGTGAGTACAAGTACTTGCCCAAATACTCGGCATCTGCACCGATACTAGTATCAATATCGGTGCTTCCCTAGAAATAGCCAATAGCAGCCTAGCTATTCATTGTCATGCTATCTGTTTTTTATTTGTATTTTTTTTACTCTGGCGGCTGTTGCCAAAATAAAAAAACAAACAAACAGACAGCAGGGGGAGTAAAACCGCCAGGTATCCCGGAAAAGTTTCCTCTGCTAGATAGAGCAGAGGAAACCTTTCCGGGATAAAATGTCTCTCTCGTCCGTCAGTGAGCCGCTATCTCATAGCAAGAGACTCCCGGAACATCTGGGAGAGTTGGTATGTCTGACAAGGGTTACTACATCTTGGAGCTGTGCAATGAGCTGCACTCAGCGTACAGAAAAACAAATTGCTGACTGGTAGAAAGAATCTTTTATGGCAGAAGAGATTTAAGGTGCTCATACACTGGTCGAATTTCGGACTGTTTTTAAAGTACCAGCAAATGTGTGTGGGGCTGTCGGCTCCCTTTCAGCCAGCATTCTTCGATCAGCTGATCGAAGGAGCCTGATGGAAAATCTCTGTGCGACCGTAGCCGATCTGATCGGGTATTCTGACATTTGCCCTGGCACCTGACAGAATGCAATGCAAACAGCTGTGATTCCTCGATTGACACGCTGTTTGTGTTGATGGAGGAATCGCGTCAATTTCTTTCATTCAGCCCGCTGGTTGACGAAAAAAATTGACAGGTGTATGGCCAGCCTTACAGTCTTGTCTGTCATAAGGTGGCCATACACTCTACAACCATCGCAAGACTCATTGGCTCTGTTCAGGTATTTGTATGTTTATGTATATATATA